TTGAGAGTCCTTTATAATACAAATACCATGAATAACATGGTAAATAAATAAATATTGTTATTACTTTTACCATAATAATATTAATAATCAATAAACCTGTTGTCCATAACCTCGAAAAGCTTCATTGTAATTTTTTATCTCGTCAATTAAATCACTTGGAGAATATAATGTGCTACAAAAAAAATTATTGTCATTTACTATCATATATATATATACTGTATATCATTAAAACAAACCAAAAGAAAAGAGGATATAATTTTCAATCTCTAACTAATTTTGCTCCAATTCTCAAATTTGATCCCACTTGAAATAGTCTATGCTATTCATCTATAAAATATATATACTAAATTCATTATTAACTAACCTGTTACCATTCCACATTGATCTAAAAAACCTGTGAAACCTTTCAGCTAATTTATATTCATGTAATCTTGTATTAGTGTGAAATTTTGGTATATAGGATTCACAATAACTAAAATAATTTGTTAATGATGGCCTACAAAAAAAAACCAAAAAAAAAAAACATACAATTAACTATACATATACATAGTTTTCAATATGAAATGGATATTAATAAATATTATATATAATAATGATGATTAACATTACGTATTAGATAAACATTGAAGAGCAGCACTACATATAAAATTGTTTACAAAATTTATATTAATATTAATTGGTAAATTTACTTTTTAAATTTAAATATAACCTAATATTAAATCTTCACCTTGCATAGCAGGTATTTCCCAAATTCTTTAATCCAACAAGACCTTTAATAAAATTTACACATATATATTATTATTATTCATTCAACTATTAATTTATTTGGTTAGAAATTCCATTATAATACAAATTTACCAGGAACATCAATTGTTAGATTATTAAAACTTTGATGTGATTTATGTTTTTTAACTTGCTATAATTTGGTTTAAATAAAATATTATTAATAAATTTTCCAAAAAAAAGGAAAGAATATAAATCATCAAAAATCAGCAAAAAAAACTCAATGTGATATATAATTACCAGACATCTAACAATGGTTTTTAAGAATTTTTGCGTTTCCAATGATAAGAAATTCTTTTCAAAGGGATTCAATTCTACATTACAAGCTTGACACCATATTGCTAAATTATGTGGATTTGCAAATATACAATGACAGTGGTTTTTTTTTCCTCCCTAAGTTATCATTATTATAAGTTATTCATATTATTCATTATCAGATCAGCCAATAAACACCTAATTTACACTTTTTCTAACCTTATGATATCCTTCAACATGAGTATGCAAATGTCCTGTAGGAGAGTTTCTCTTACAAACTATTACACAACAATTACTCTTTAGAAAAAGATTGTTATGTTTATTACATGAACATGTGAAATGTAGGCATAATAATTAAATTGTTTTTTTAAAAAAAAAGAAATAATTCACATTTAAACAAATCCATATTCTTGGAGTTTTTATATCACAAGAGTTGCAATGTAAAGTACCATTGATTATTTGTTTCTAAATATGTAATTTTTTAAAAATATATTTATTTATGTGCATTGCAGTTTATATGATTTAGATGAAAATGTAAAGAAGTCAAAAAAAGCAACCTTGAAAGAAGAAGAACCAATTTTAGCTAAGGGAGATCCTTGTTTAACTATTAAATCAACGTGTGGACAATAAAACATTTGTAATATTTCTATATAATATATGCTTGTAATTGAATGAATAAATAATTATAATGTATATATTATTATTTACTTTTTGGAAAATCATTGTCGAAAATTTTCCCTTCTTTTCGTGAAACATTAATATGTTCCACTTGGCACTGTTACACAATAAAAGGTTGATTTTCTTTTATGGCAAGTGACTTGCACCATACCATTTTGATAATTAAAGTTATATCTAAATTGGTTAAGTGCTGAATATCTTTCTGTCATTGTACCTGTCACGGTTTTTTTTGTTGACGATTGACTGAAAAATTTGATGCTGAAAAGTCCTTCTAATTAGTTAATTAATTTTTGATTTCAATTGATTACAATAATAATTTCATATTTTGCGACTTCTACAAAATTTTGCTGTAATGTACCATTTGATCTAATAAAATCTATTTGAATCTAGTAAAACAAATAGACAAAGGGTAAATTTGTTGTTTATCAAAAAAAGAAATAAAGAAATATAAATATGATTGATTTTGGACTGAAATTGGTATATCAAAATCATACATTTACAATATTATTTTGAATAAATTCTTTTAAATCATTAACCCAAAGGAACAAAATTAATTATTTTACAATAAAGCCATTTGTTTGTTTAGTTATTGTTGTTTTTTGATTTTAATATTAATTAATGCATGTGAATTATTGATTATTTGGGTTATTATCTTTTATTCAAATTACTATTCGTTTTATTTGTTTCGTTTTATGTGAATTATTAATTATTTGAGTTATTCGTTTTTATTCTCTTTTATTTGAATTACGAATTATTCGCTTTATCCACTTTGATTCAAATTACTATTATTTGTTTTATTCGAATTATTAGTTATTCGTTTTTATTCTCTTATTCGTTTTATTCACTTTTCAAATTACTATTATTCATTTTTTCATTCTATTCATTTATTCATTTTTTCATTCTATTCATTTATTCGCATTTATTCGCATTTATTCGCATTTATTCGCATTATTCGCATTATTCGCTTTTATTCGCTTTATTCGCTTTATTCGCTTTATTCGCTTTATTCGCTTTATTCGCTTTACTCAAATTATTTGAATTATTCGAATTACTCAAAAACATTTTTTTTATGAAAAAACCTTATTCAAGATTATGATATTTTAGTACAAAGAGCTTTACCAATAAACTTAATCACAATATAAAAGAGCCATTGGTTTCTTAAATTAAGCCAATAATTAACTAAAAATAGGATTAATTATAAAAGAATATCTGATGAATACCCTCTACCTAAAATTCAAACACAAGTACATAAATAAACGCACATACATATCGATTGTTTAAAAGAACTAGGTATCGGCACTTTTAGATGTTTTAATATATGATTACATTCTAGTATATTTATATTTAATTCTTCCAAAAAAAGAAAATATTAAAACAAATTTAAATTATATTCATTGTATGATTTTTATTTTAAGTTCATTGTTTATTGCTTGAATTTTTTTCTTGATTTTTGACCATATAATTGTTTATTTTAGACTTTTTACTTTTTTGCTGTATCCAATTGCAAATCAATTTACAATAATTTTTTCAAGAAAGTTAATTTCATTAATAATATTGAATTAATTTTTCTATCTTTTCCCTAATTAGAAATTAAAAAATGTTATTATTACCTTTCTTGGGTTTTGTAGAGGTGGGAAAGGTGTATGTTCTTTCTTCTTGGTCTTTGTCTTTTGGTATTTTGTTTCTTGAAATGAGGCGAAATCTATCCCAAGATTCTTTTTTTTAGTTGAGGATCCTTAGAAAGTTCTCTCTTAATCATCATTTTCTTTTTTTCAAATAAAAAGTAATTTTAAATATTTAATGTCATTCATTTTTTATCATCAAGGAACAACAACATCATTGATCAATACCTTTATATGATATATATTCTTAATACAATCAACCACAATGCGCCTTACTTCTTTTAAGCCCTTGTATGAACCCATCAGAGATACAGTATTACCTTGAACCAATACTCACAGGCAAAAAAAGGACAATTCGGAATAAAATCGGTGGAATATCAGGTACCTGATTTTTAGCTAATTTTTACCTATTTTAAGAATATTGATGATTTTCTCATATCTGATTGTTATTGAATTTTGGCGCACATTGGCAACAATCAATAACCAAAAGGTAGAAACTCAGTATCCAAAAATCAGTAAACTATCAGGAAAAAAAATGTATCATATCAGACACCCTGAACTTTGGCTGATATTTTACACCAATTACTAAATGATTATTCATTAATTTATGAAGAAGTGTTAAAATAATCAATAAAATAGAACCAAGAAAAAGCCAATTAAAAATAAAACAAACAAGCTTATTAATGATAAAAAGAAAATAAAAAATCTATAAAAGGATTTTAAGCAATTATTTGATAAACAAGTTGAATTGGATTCTGATTTATCCTTTAATGAAATGGCCATTGAAATTCGTGAAATACTTGGAGAGAAAAACTTTTACCAATGAAAAAAATCCTAAAAGGAAAACAATAGAAACAATTCAACAGTGGATTGACAAAGAAATGAAGAAAGAGATAGAAAATGAAGCTGAAGAAGATAATAAAAATGATGATGACATAAATATTAGTAATAATATTAGAAGTAATTGTGAAAGTTGAATTTTTGTCAGAGTGCCTAAAGAATAGGTGATACTTATAAATGGCTTTAGGTCCGAGTATTTTCCTCCTATGCAAGCACTCTGATAATTCTTTAACTTATATATTTTATAAAATTATTTGTGTTTCTATTATTAATTAGTTGAATTAAAATAAAAATAATTTTCTTTTGTTGTTGTTCATAAATAAATTCCAAGTCATATGCCCATTAATTTATTATTGGGCAACAATTACAATCTAAATAAATGTTTTAAAATTAAATTTTACAATTTTTTTTTTTTCCAAAAAATAATGGCATATGAAGAAACATTGGAGTATGAGTCAGCAAAAGGAGAATATGAGTCAGCAAAAAGAGACTTGAATAAATGGAAAGAGAAGTGGGAGGAGAGGTTGAAGAGTTTGAAGAAGAAGAGGGCAGAAGAGGATTATGAAGAAGAAAAAGATGAATTAGAAGGAGAAAAGAAGACATTAGAAGAGAAGGAAAAATTTTGGATGGGAGAAATTGGAAAGTGGACTACGAAGTTTTCAAGAGTCGAAGAAAAAAGTAATGAACAAATTGCATAAAAAAATATACAAAAAATTATTTTCCATTTATTCCATTTTGTTTATTTATTTATCTATTTGTATCAAAATGAAAGTTTGTTTTGCATAATAAATCATATGAACTTGCCTTTTGCTTTTATTAGCTTCAACCAACTTGAAAAGAAATCATACTGAATGTGTTATAACAACTGAAGGACCAGTATACCCATCTGGAGTTTCACTGATGGTTCTCATATACAAAAGAGATAGATATCTTCAAAAAAGTTATAAATGGTATTACAGCAAAACAATCATGTATTATTCATGGACCATACCAAAGTGGAAAGACCTCCTTATTGTTAGAAATAAGATCATTACTCATGGGTGAAAGAAAAAATTTTGTGTATTTTGATATGACAACAGTGACCAGGATAACAAAACCAACAGAATCAAGAAGATCACAAGATTTACAAAATGAAAATTTCAAAATCATATCATATTACTTTTTTAAAGAAACCCTTACTGATGTAGAAACCATAACACGCATCTTAGACCTAGAAGATCCTTTGTATATCCTCATTGATTAATTTCAATTTATTTTTACAAACAAGAAGCTCCTTAATGTAGCTAAAGATTTCTTCCGATCAATCTCAATCTCTGAGAATCTAATTTATATTGGTGTAGGTACCTCTAAGCTCATGGATTTGATGGATGATGATGGAAAAGGTGATGAAGAATGTAGTGAGGACCTCAATCCACCTTTTAACAAGGCTAAATTCATTAAAATGGAACCATTCAATGTTGAAGAGATGGGTATGCTTTTTTCTTCATATGAAAAAAGGTTCAACCCAGAAGGTGTTCCTATCTATTTGCAGAATAAGATTATACAAGAATCTTGTGGTCACCCAGTTTCTTTCATGATCTTGTTAAAGCTCTTTAATGATTTTAGTCCAGACTCTGAAACTAGCTGAAACTATGTGTTGGAAAATAATCTTAGTGAGTACATGAATGTGACACATATCAAACTGAAGAAAATGTTAAACAATATGAGTGATACTGAAAAGGCAATTATTCGTGATCTTACAAAGAATATGGGAGATAAATGGTACATAAATTCCAATATACCCAAACACTTTATCAGAAGATTAATAAATGTTGGCATTCTCTTTCTTTTTGGTGATAATTATTAGTTGGTTTTACAAGCTATATTATCCTGCGTATTTGTATCAACACAGTCTTTCCTAAACCACTACAACCTTTACCAATAAATAAAGTACCAACTGATCCTATTAAGTTGCTAGAACTTGGATTGAAACACATTGATCCTTCTACAATCATTGATGATAGAGTTAAAAATGTAGATGGTTCAGCAGAAAGATCTTTACAGGCAGCACTTTATTGTGTCTTTAATGGCTTACTTCCCAGGCCAATGTTATGTTTGCTAGAGGTAAAGTGCAGTGGTCATGAACAACTTGATTTAATGATAGTTAAAGGTAATGAGAATTTGGTTGCTTACTCATTCAAAGTCAATAACATCACATCAAATGATTTCAATAAAGCACTATGGCAGGCTGTAAGATATGTTGATCATTATAAAATGGATGTATATCTTGTCAATTTCTACCTAGATGGTCATAGAGAACCAGATGTGCCCATTAATACTCCAGAACAGATCATTTAGTTCATGTCAAACATAATGCTGAATGCACACAATTCAAAATTCATATACCATCTGATAATTATTGGAAGACAATTAATGTAATTGAAATAAATTAGTTATAAAAAAATTTCCCAACTTTCTTTTTAGTAGTATTGGTAGTATGACAAGTAAAATCATAGCTATTTCAAAATTAGGTTTAAAGAAATCAAATATGTAATAAACAGAATTTTAAACTTGGGCAGATTACTTGATATATATTCTTTTATCATGTAAAGATAAAATTTTGCTTTATATTAAACTTTTAATACAATTGCATTTATTTAATGAGCAATAGTGTGCCACTATTAAATGAGGTATGGACAATAGAAACGTGACCAACGTCAAAATCATGATTTTGAGAAAATCAAAAAAAAGATTTCACCCCAAAAAAT